TGCAGTTGGGGTCCAAAATTATTGAAGCAACAACAAATATTTGCTGGTTATTACAACTAACTATGATAACTATTATGGTAACTATGCAAATCATATATGGTACGAATATCCCCATAACTATGGCAACTATGATGGCAACTATGGCAATAACCAACAAATATGGGGTTTTTGTTGATGCTGGATATCATGGGGGATAATGGAGATATGCAATATATAAGTAAATGGTAGAAAAACCAAGCGTCCCGTAAGTTGGGATGCAGTTGAACTGCACCCCCAGAATGCTCTCCCGCCATGGTCAGACTCGGAGAAAATAAACTGGCAGACTTGGGACAGGCAATTGATATCAAGCATCGAGTTGCTGTTTTTTTTGTGTAAAAATAGTTTTTTTTACCAGGAAGTACATCTATATATATATATACATAAACACATAGATAAATAGATATATATATATATACACACATGCATTTGGGTGGAACCCAGCACAAATCCCACTGATTTTCGCTCGTTTCGTTTCGAGGGGATCAAACCCACGATGATGATACCTTTGCAAACCAGTATCTATCTCCATATATACATGTATATATGTATATATAAAGTGGAACCCCCAGAAAGCTAAGTTGGTGAAGATAACTCCAATGTTTGTATGGTTTATGATGCTTATAACTACAGTTAGTGGGGTTTATTAACCAACTTACAACTCGAGGGCCCATATTGTATGTGTATATATATATATATATGTCTATGTATATATGTATTGGCTATATGAATACTGTTGACCCAGCAACAAGCCGATATTTGTAGACAAAAATGCGTGGGAAACCTGAAACTTGCGCCCAGTCAGCATACCACTTGACGAAACATGTCTCGTTATCACCTGAACAGGGATGGTAAAGCCATTCGACAACCAAAAAATGCGCTGTTCAATGATTTCATCAAAAATGAATGATTGATGCTTGATTGGTGTAAGAGGCAAAAAACACTACAACCCCAACATGTAACATGGACTTGTTCCATCTTGACAAAACTATCCCAAGTTGCCAAGATGGCAGAACAACAGTCATGACGATGTCGTTTTATCAACGATTTATGGATGTTTGGCTAGTCGCAATGGGAGGGTTTGTGAGAAGTTCAATCAGCAAGTGTTGGGTATGATAGGGATACAACAAGTATGGTGGTTCATGGCAACTAACAAAACTATGGAAAATCACCATTTGCACTAGGTCAATCAACCAGAAATGCCCATGTTCAATAGCTTTTTGTATGTTTACCAGAGGGAAATGGAGTATAGACGACTGATGATTTGCCCAGAAACAGCTGGTGGCTGGAATAGACATGATGCAGCCTCGGGTGTAGTGATGACTCCTAACCAACCTCCAGTACTGACATAGCAACCGGAAAGTCACCATGTTCAGTAGCTAAATCATCGAACTAAATGGGCGGCAATTTTCCTTAATTGTTCATAGCTATGTTGAATGTTCAGAGTATACCCAGCTTCTTCGAGATTGTTGAAGGACACTCGCTGATGTGTCAAGGTGAAACTGGGTAAAACTTGGCCACTTTAGTATATACATGAAAATTAATATGAATAAAACATAATCTATACATATAATATAATATATATATATATAAATATTATATGATATTTTTTGATTTTTGACAAAGCATCATTTTGTTTTTCCTGCCATGGTATCTAGGGTTGGCCACGGAAATGGCACCTCTTTTTTGACAACTTACTGTTATGAATCTGAGTTTGACCATGATTCCTAGTGCTTCTAGTGGCCTCAACCGCGTGGATCGAGTTGAGCCAAAACCTAGCGTGTTTTTTATTTTCAATGTTGCGTCAGCCAGCCTGATCCGACGACACTTTAATTCCACGAGCCACAGGGACTGGCAGGGGAAATCAGATTTTAGAGGGTGGACTTGTGAAACCGGTCATATATCATCATCAATATAATTTTATATTATCATGATATTATGTTGACAAGGCTCATGGTCCGTGCATTCATTTTTCATAAGGGAACCGGTCAGTTAGTGACGTCACTTGGTCCATTCGTTACTAGTGTCGTGACAACTGCATCATTTTTTGCCAAGGCAACAGGTTTCTGAATCAACAGAAGATTAGCGCGGTTGGTGGGATGCAATCACGCGGGGGTATGATGTTTTTCAGGAATTGTTTCGAATCCTATGCAAGCCATGGCTGAGAGGAGGGCTTGGGGACTCCATATATGTAAGGTTTCGAGCAAATCCAAGGAGGAATGCAACTGTGAGTCAAATTTGGAAATTTGGCCAGCTTTGTATATGTATGGCATGGAAATCTATGTCAATATACCTTATATTTATTTCTATATGGTGTTTCCATCTTGATGATGATGATGGTGATGATGATGATGGTGATGATGATGACGATCTGGGCTGATTCTCCAGGTGCCCCGACCTGTCAGTCTTCAAGGGGGTAAAACCACCAGTGGATCATTATCGCAGTTTGCAAGTGGCTAGAAAGCACTACCAGGAAGTTCTGCAGGAATCGCCTAGGATTATGACATCCAGCATCCTTCGCAAAGAGAATAGCATCCCTATGTGCTGTATATACCCGCACTGTACTTATCCCTATGGATCCAAGTTCCTTCTTAGGAAGTATTTTGGGGTATGATTTAGGTGGTTAAGTACCTTCTCAGGCAGTCTTTGGATCCATAGGGTATAGTATTCTATAGAGATCTATAGAGTATACATATAGAACTTGATACACAAAATATGTTTTTTCCGTTTCAGAAAGTTCACCCAAGCAGTACAGTGATTTCCGTCCAAAAGAACGGCTCACAAAAAAAAAAGTTCAGTTTCCGCCCAGTAGCACAGACTGGTCGGATTTTTGAAAGAACCGGACTGCGCGAGGCGCGCTAGCAGATGCGCCTCATGCGGCAGAGGCTAAAAAAAATCAAACGGTTCATTGTCATGGGACCAGTTGTTTAAGATATATAATTCTTAAGAAGATGTATAGCATCAGCAACTGGTTGCCTGATCCTTAAGAAACTTATGTCGTGATGTCAAATTAAAGATTTAAGATATGGAACTGTGGAATCATGTATATCTACAGATATAGATATGTGATATATCCTGTAGATTAACTGGTGTCTATGTCCATCTCTGTGTCTATTTAGTAACACATGACATCACCTTAATCTACAGATATATGCCCTTACAACCTTTATTAACAGCTGTCTATGTCCAAAGGTGCACCTCTCATATCCTCTCATGAAATTCATGCGGCTTACGGCCGAAGATCCAAGCCGGTGCCGGTCGGGAGGGGGGTGAATTTTTACAGCAACGAAGAGGTCGAATTCCACAAATTGTACCCGCTTTGTTGTGGTATATAGATGGATTAATTAATAAATCATCTATGCTATATAATGTGTTATGTAAATTGTCTTTGGTATATAATTTGTTATGCAAATCATTTTTTGGTATAGAATAGATGGCCCATTAGATCATTAGATGATTTACCAATTAAACATACGTATGATTTTTTTCCATAGCCATGTTTACTTACCTGAGGATCGGCACTACATTTTTTCCCAAACAGTGTGGTCACACTGAGGGGTTCTTACGGTAACAGCTATATAAGGGGCGGTGTTCAATCGAGGTGGTATCGGAAGCGTCCGGCATTTTCCCTGTAAATTTCCGTACAAAATGCCTCTTCTATCCTCTTCTGACATGTCCATGTGCATTTCGACTGCGCAGGCTCGCACAAAATGCTGGCCCCGGGATTAGCGTTTGCCATTTTCCCTGTAAATTTGCGCGCAAAGTGCCTCTTGTGACATGTCCATGTGCATTTCGACTGCGCAGGCTCGCGCAAAACACTGGCCCCGGGATAAGCGTCCGGCACTTTTCCTGTACTGTAAATTTCTACACAAAATGGTTCTTGTGACTTGTCCATGTGCATTTCGACTGCCCAGGCTCGCGCAAAGTGTGCTTCCCGGTCTTGGGATCGGTCTTCCTCCTCAACTTCATCCTCTTCCTCCTCCTCAACATCCACATCATCATCTTCCTCTCATCATCATCATCATCATCACCATCATCATCATAATCATCATCTTCATCATCATCATCATCACCATCATCATCATAATCATCACCTTCATCATCATCATCATCATCATCCTCGTCCTCATCCTCATCCTCATTATCATCATCATCGTCATCATCATCATCACAGTCTTTATTATCATCATCATCATCATCATCACCATCACCATCACCATCACCATCATTATCACCATCACCATCATCATCAACATTAACACCATCACCAACATTGTAATACAGTGTCTTTTTACTCCGCCCACACGGTTTGGGGTCTCTTGCCGGGTTAATTTTTATTTCAAATCGGGGGATACCGGAAAAAACAACGATGATGTTCGACTATGATTTTCCAAACCATTGGATGACAAATTACACAGGTATCATGGGGTGTTGCTGACCCATGAACGGTTAAACAACACCATTTCGACTTATGTTTGAAATCGTGAAGTTTTGGCACTTTAAAACACATGTGTTCCGATCACTTCAAGGGCGGAACATCAAAAGGATTACCTTTTTGGGATGACAACTGAGGGATGACTTCCTTGTAGGTTTGCCTGGAATTTGAGGGTTTGAATCAAATTGCAGTAATTCACCAACCCGACAACTCGGGGCACGTCCACGGGATCTCTTTGACAACTCGGGGTTTCAAAAAAAAACAAACTGATGACTGCCATCAATTGGTTATTTTGGACACCTCATTTAGCATCATTTAACGATAATTACTTTCAGTACACAGAAACAATAGAATTCCACCTACAAGGTGGGGAATTATAACCAACTATAGTATTATAGCCTGGGGTGAACCTTTTTTTAAAGCACCGGCAACAAAACTGGAGTCCCTTAGCCTGCAGCGATGTTGACTTAAGGATCTTTCAGGACGGGCAGCACCAGTCCGCGCTCTTGTCTTGTTTTCTGCCCCCTAGGAAGCTTTTTACATGTCGGTGCAGACCCTGACTACGGTGGGTTTTGGAGATGTCTATCCGGCCACCCAAGGGGGCCGAGCTTTTGCGCAGCGTGGCGAATGGAGTTGGATGGGTTTCCCCCTGTTGATGGTGTTGTTTCATGAGGATTTTATCATTGAGATGGGTTTTACCCAGCAAGAATATGAAGACAGCATTGGTAAATGATGGTTGGTTGATGATTACATGGGGTTTATCACACTCCATGAATTAGGAAACCGTTCTTAACTATAGTGTATTTAAAAAACAACGAACGACGGAAGTTCTCAACACTGTTCAGGTGAAAATGTGGTGGTGAAACCATGGTTTTGAGGGATGTGAATGAAACATCAGAGATAGGACAGATAGGAGATAAAAACTCTGCCAAACAGCATAACCAGATTGTAAACATGTCTATCCCGTTTTTCAGATGGAATCTCCAACTTTGGTCTCATGGCAGTCCTGGTGAGGTCAACAGAGGGATTGGCTAAGAACCAACAACCTGGTTTTGCGAAATCCGTGGAAATCCACCATTTGGAGATATGGTCTTGTTTGATTTGTTCCAACAAACTGTTTGTTTTTTCCCATCAACCCAAGCTATGTTCCTGTTGGTGATTTTCCGGGAAATCCAAGAAATCCAAGAAATCATAGAGAAGTGAGGTTATAGATTTGTAGACCCCTGCAATTGGGACCATTTGTTTTGTTGGGAGATGGTTCCCATGCAGACAGCAGACATAATTCATGAAGTCACCTTCCCAATAGTCTCTCTGGGTTTCCCTGCTCACAACAAGTGACCCATGCAAAAAGTAATGCTTGCAATTCCCATAGAAAGACCAGCTCAACAGGTCCTCCAACAGCTTTCCAGCCAGGACTGTGTGGATGCTGTTGGGTGTGACGGCAGCAGCAAATCTCATCGTCACGGTCACTGATGCAATCTTGAAGTACCGCAAAGATCTGAAGGAGGGATCCTGCAGAAATGCTGGTGGCTGGCTTATCCTCTGGTAACATAGCCATTGAACATGATACATGGTCGTGCTTCAATGAGAAATCATGTAGAAATGGAGAGTTTGCATAACTTTGCCAATGTTTTCAAATTTCCGATTCCCAGAAAACTCAAATAGATACTTCTACGGAAATTTGAAACGGAGGATCTGTGGATCATCTTGCTAATAGCTGCTAGGGAAAACATGGATTTTCACAAATTGCTCTATGTTTACTTGAGGAGATCACAGCAATTTGACCTGGAACCAGTCTTTATGGTCTTTTCCTTGCTTTTTTGAGTGTTTTTTTCATGCGGATTTGTTGGGACTTGGGTGTTCAGATTCCAGACATTAGAGGATCTTGTGGCCTCCTATGACTGCCTTGTGGATTCAAATAGTCTAACTATTGTCCATCCTTAGAAATGGGATGGTGCTCCTCTCCTGGGGATCCATCCCCCCCGCAAATCAGTGGATTTTCAGCGGGGCCAGCTGGCTACAGCTGAGCAAGCCTCAACGAACGTCAACCCCAAAATTGACAAATCATTGAACATTTGAATAAACATTTGCTACAAAAGTGGTAGCCCCAAAATGATCAACCGCATATTGCATCAATATTTTTTAAAATATATCCCGCAATGTCATGCAATGTCCTCATAACGATTGCCATTTTCAGCCAGTTTTTTCCAGCATTTTCAGACACACACCATTTATATCACTAGTTGTTGGTTAGCTATTCCCATGATATCCATTGGAATATCCCATCACATCCTCATAAAATGGTTGGTTAATGTTGGTTCAACCTCCAAATATCATCAAATATCACATCAATTCCGGAGAATAGTCGCAAAGCAATGATCTAGTAGAATATGTGTTGATGTGATAGAAATATTAGTCTACTAATCAATAAACACTTCCACCTTTTCTGTGCAATTTTCTGTGTAAAACATCCACTTGGGCGCAGCACCGCAGCCTGGCAGCCTGGGCCTCAGGCTGAACACATGACCAAGGCGCGCGAGTGGCGCTTTCACCGGTCATCCGGTTGTTCGGGATTTGTTTGTCCCATGAAACTGGCCAGTTTGCTAAATTTGAGGTAAAATGATCACAATCCTACTTTCCAAGAATCTCCAGATGTCAACCGTTGCGGTTTCGATTCCTGGTTGTTTCAGCTGGTGACTTCGATTCCTGGTCATATTTAAGACGTGACCACTTCGGAAGGGAGTCCACTGTTGATCACTGACCCAAATCACTAGTTGATCACGGTGGAAGAGGGGTTTCATCCGAGTCTCAAAGTCTGTGGGGGTAAATCATTTGTTGTTTTTGATGTGTTCTTTGTACTCAAGAAACAGGGTGTGAAATCAGATGATGTGGTCATTGATGTTGCAAAGTTGTTTTGAAAGTTGCGTGTCTGCCGATCTACGTAATATATGTATATGCACACACATTGCAGTGTTTCGATCAGGTAAATCATCTACTTGAAATTATATTTCGCTGCGGTTACTACGGTTGGTTCATGTAACAACAATCTTGGGACACTGAACCTGCTGAACCATAGAGAGTACAGAAATCGGCATGCTGATGTTGAAAATGATTCTGCACATTTCAATATTGATGATGTGTCATTATGTTCATCAACACTTACGTAGCAATTACTTGTGGGAGAAATGTTGAAACACCAGAACCACTATCTTGTTTTATTGCGTAATACTTGGAATGAACATCCCTTTACCAGCCATCTTATGATGTTCACAGATGAGATTTGATCCGTTTTGACCGGTGGCAACACGCTCCAAGGAGCTCTTGCTTCACATGTCCACTGATGGCTCGGGCAAAGCCACTTGGTGAAATCCAAAGGTGGCAAAGTGGCTAATTGATCTCCTATGATCTCCTGTAAATGGGCAAACATGAATTGAAAACGGGACATTCATGGGACATTCATCATACATAATTCAATATTCCATTCATCTAGAAATGGAGGATTGTCCATGACCACTATGACCGACCGGTTGATTCTTTGAGGTGATTCATTGCCCGACCCGGCCCGACCCCTTGATCTTTTTTTGTCAACGCCCGTGTTGCGGGATGATAACCAGGTTTTCACTTGGCACATACCAAGCAGACACATCCAATGGAAAACGGGAAACCGATCATCAAATAGATTTGATTGCGTGGAAACACCCCTTAAATAGGATTTAAATAAAGTGGAAATTGCACCACCTGGACCTAGTGTTTCCCGTATGAGAAAGAACTGGGCGATGTAGTATACGCATGCATACAGATTCACAATATGTTTGCAATGAAATTAGAGAGCCTGAAGTAAACACTTTTACTTTTTTTAACGGCAGACACGTTGCCTTGATTTGTTTGCCGAACATATCTGGTCCCAGTCTTACGTTAAGATATTTCTAATACGATTCCAGATCATGTTGATTTATCTAGTTTGATTCATACAAAGTGGGGCCCCGAAACGAGAGCTAAGTAGGTCTAGAACTCAAATGTGTGTATGCTTCATGATTCTACTTATGATTCTATAGTATTATAGTATACTACACAGTATTCGTGGATATTCATGGTGAAACTAAACCAACAACCATTCCGAATTGTTGGGGCCCGGCCCGGTACAAGTTGCCTTTCTGAGGTGGGCAAGACAGACTTCCTGTGTTATGAGTTGATCCGGCGAGGCGCTCGTGATTTGGGATGATTTCATGGACTACCCGGCCTGGTTGCCCTGTCACATAACTATGGAAAATCAATGAAAGATCCACCATTTTTTAGCTGGATAAATCCACTATTTCTATGGTCCATGTATGTCCATGTTCAATAGCTATGTTAAATTACCAGAGGGTTTTTTCTTCAACAGAAATGAGATGTTGGTCCCCAATGACCAGCATATTGCTCAGAGGGTGGCTTAGGACTTGACAGAAGAATCCTGGCCGAACCATCTTGGACGCGTAAGGGCAACCACGCCAAAGTGGGTCAGGTTCTTTTTAATGTTCACATCATGCTAAATGATATTGATAAACATTAGTTCTGTGTGATATTTACATGATTTTACATGTACACATTGTTACACATTTTGAGTTTTTTCATTTTCATATGGTTGTATGTCAACAAATACACTCAAATACACGTGAAAGAAGTACAGGAACTGGCGTACATAAATACGGGTACGTGAATGAGCTACGCACCGCAATGTGAATATGACCTGTATAGTATATAGTGTTTGACGTATTGTATGTCCTGTTCTTTGCTTTACCAATAACCAAAAGAGACAGTATCACTATTTGTTTGGCATGTATTTCTTGAGAACATGATGACATTGAATTTCGAAGACTTGACTGCCTAAATAAATATATTTGGGTATACATATAGAGATTTCACTTCTGCAGGTTTAGATGAAAGCCTCAGCCTCCGAAAGGGACCTTCTGAACAAGTTACCCATCAGGTCTCTGTGAAACAGACGAGCTCGCTGAGATTGTGGGTTTCTTCAACAAACTCGATAGTGACTTGTGCGTCCCGAACACTGCAAAAAATGGGTCCTGAAGATATGGGACATATGTTGATTGCCAAATGAATTAGTATTGAGTTCTGTCTTTCCATGTGTTTCCTAAAAATTGGGATCTTTTCTAAGGAGCCATTTGCGCTTGTTCCCTTTTTGCAATGTATCTAACCTTGGCCATGATAATCCATGACATGATGGTAGACCGCATCATGTCGAATTGGGGATTTGATGTGCACGAGAAAAAGGGATCACACGCCCTGAGAATCCGATGTTCAAGAGGCAAATGATCTATACGCACAGGCCATGTCATTGTCCATAGCTATGTTTGATTCCTACAAGGTGTCCCAGAAATAAGGATTAGGCTACAGGACTAGGAATCTGTATTTGCACGTGCACAGACGCTATATTTGGGGGTTATGAGATGCCAGTAAAGCACCACCTATTTGGCGATCTAATAGTCTAAGAAACCTGAAGACACCTTATGAGCAGCGTTGGAGATCCCAAGTTTACGACCTGCATAATTGGATGACTAGATAGCATAAGGGATAGCCTCAAGTAAAGTCACATCGCTATGGGTATGAAATTCATCCCAAAATCGGCTGTTAAAATCGTCCCAGTTGCATTTGTCAATGGGGCTATCCTGGGATCCATGTTAAGGTCAAAGAACCAAAACTCCAGCGGTTATGCTTAAATCTCTATATACAAACAATGGAACTCCCCTGGGTTTGGGAAATTCACCGACTCAGCGAATTTCCATCCAATAGCGAAGGCAAGAAACTGGGCTATTTGGATTTCAAAGACTTCTCTGCATTGGTGACTCTACAAGCAGCGCATGTAGCTTCCCGGTGAGGCGTTGATGAAATGCAGCAGGTTGAGGAAAGGCCCACGATTTCAAGATGATATTCATAGCTGAGCAAACCTTTGTGAATATTTGGTGTTTCATAGTTTTGAGCCAAACATCAAAGCCCACTGAACAGCTACAGGAGCTCCAATGGTAGCTCCAGTCACTAGTTACCCTCCGGTGTCAACATGACAAGCTGGGAAATCCCGCATGAATTTCGGCTATTGAAATAGAAACAGTGCCGAACTAAACGAGGCACTGGGTGCCACTTTCTACCTGCAATGTGTTGTTTTCTAATCTGAATCAAGTGAAACAGCCAACAAAAACATGGCTAAAGTGACACTTTCTCAGTAGCTCAAGCTGTTTTCCTGCTACTTCTGATCCCCGCCCCTGTGAAAGCATGAGAGTGCGAGCCAAAATGGGGCGACCCAATGGGATGGATGGATTGTCCGAGGTCAGCAATGGTCCCTTGCTAATTAAGCTATGCGTATGGTGCATGTACACTGTGTATAATGTACTTCCACAGCGCATGCTCTTCAATCAAATAAACAGTTTGAAACTTTAACGTGTACTTTCACAAAAGTGAAAATCCGTTTGCTGCCGTTTTATTCTTGTTCGAACTTCCGAGCTTTTGGTTAGAGTTGTTCCCATCTATTTGTAGCTTGCCTGACTCACGTAATTCACAGCCTAGTAGCACATGTTGACCAAAAATGAAACAGCTGTCTGTGTTTTTTTGGGGTCCCAAGCCATTTCCATTATTCAGGGTACGATTATTACTTGTCTTGCTAGTAAATTACTGTCATTACTATTCCAAGACCCTGGGACATTGCTATAGCCAATTGATGTCAGTTTTGTTTTATTTTCAACCACATTTGGGATAATGGTCATGCTCAACGATGCGCATGTTTTCAGGGGGATTGCAACCACATGTTAAGTTATTTATTTATTTATCTGGGCAAATTATAACGACCTCACTGCGACCTCATTGGAATCATGGTTAAAAAAGAGGAATCATCCCAAAATGGCCCAACATTTTAGGTTAGTGAATTATTATCATTTGCCCAGATTTATTGATGGTTCGTTATCATGATTGTTTATGCTTCAAATTCCCATTTGCACATTTGGGGTACCCCAACTCTGGACACAGCCAAACATCAGTTTGTTGTATATCCCATCTAAAAAAAAATCTATCCCATCTAATATTCCCGCTATATTCACCACAACATCCCCCATGGTTGATTCCTCTGACTACCCTCCAGAAAACTAACATAGCTCTGGAAAGTGGACAATTAGTTCGATGATTTACCTATGAAAGTCTATGAAAGTAGTTTTTTTCCCCATATCTTCCATCCCATTTTGTATATTTCTCAGAGGGTCTCGGCCCCCAGGTCTATGCCAATTGCCAGAGGCCGCCCTTTTGACTTCCAACAAGGGGCCCCAAATCAATCCATTTGGAGGCTTCCTCATGCGAATACCCCCAAATCATTCATTTTTATAAGGTTTTCCATTGGAAACCTATAGAAAAAATCGGATGATTTGGGGGTATCAGGAAACCCCCATTTCAGGAAACCCCAACATTTTGTATTCATGGGGATGCCCAGTGCCTCAAAAAAAGTATCAACATTGAGGCTGAAGTATGGTCCGTTGCATCCCAAAATCCATTGCTCAATCGAAACATATGCCAAGATATGCCAAGACCCTCCGTTTGTCATAAAGTCATAAAAATATACAGAAATGGTGTTTGTGCCATGTTTTACCCCATCAGCTGAATATGTTTACCATATTTTGGCTGTACCAACGTCACAACTTGGGGGTCCAGGGCCAGTCTCAATATCTCAATGATCAACGCAGCTGGTCGGGATGGTTTTTTTAAGCGGTCAGCTTTCAGAGAAGCATGGGTTTTTTCATGGAGCATACCCAGCGAAACTTTTTTTGGGATATGTTGGGGTAGACTCGCATATATTATATATAATATATGGAAATCCAGTGATTTCGACAGAAAGGTCTCTACAGAAAGGTCTCTACGATGTGGATGGTGGGTGTTCCGTGTCTATAGTAGTTGTTGTTTTTTTGCAGAGTAAATCATTAAGGTTATACCCTCTGGTAAACTGTTACATAACTATGGAAAATCACCATTTTTAATGGGACAACTCACTATGAATGGCCATTTTCAATAGCTTTTTGTATGTTGACCAGAGGGTAATTAGCATGTTATAGCCATCTACAGCCATCTGTTTGCTGCCAAAGTTGTTGCATCGGGCAGGACCTCTGCTGTTGCTTGGGCTATGCTCCGCTTCATTGCGCTGCACAGGCACCGTGGTTGCTACAGTCGGGATGCCTTCATCGTTGGATCCGTAGGAAAATGATGACTAAACGAATGGAAGCAGCACAAACCACGATTCGGCCAACAAAACGTTTGATTTTCATGTGATTCAAGTTAGGAAATGGTAATTTGGTTTAACTGTTCAGCGGCTTAAGATGTTATAACTAGAGATTTACAATGGGGTTATGGGTATTAAATCACTCAATCGTTGGATGAGTTTTATCAACATAACATGTGTTTTTGCATCATCTTGTAGGTATCAATGCTGCATTTTGTTAAATGTGTCATAGACGCCATATGGTTGTCGAAATTATGATTTATGATTGAACTTTAGTAATTAGTAAATACTAATGTGTTTGTTTTTTTTTTGTTTTAATGTTTGGTGCTTACTGAGCACAAAGAAATGCGGTAGTTTGTTTTCTCCTGGTCAAGCTACGATCTGGAATGGCACCTGGATTGGCCATTTCAAGCTGCTCATCCAACATAACGTGCGATGGCTTAGTCAGATGCACTGTGATATATATATATATATAAAGATATGTATATATACCTTGAAACTCAAAAACCTACAAAAACGTGGGATATGAAAAAAACACGATGTTTTTCCACAAAACCCGATGTTTTCAAATTTGCAGTTTTGATGGTGAAGAGAGAAATGAATAGAGTCATCCTATTCCAGCATATTCCAGCATTCCTTGCCACAACCCCCAACAAACATGTGGTTGGGAAACTCTTGGTGGCTCCTCAATTCCCTCTTGACCAGTGGATAGCATAGATAGCCAACATCACCCACCAATGATTCCGATGCGATGTCTATTTTCATATGATCATATGAATCTGTTGAAATATTGCAGCAAAAATGGCAAAGGTGGGACCCTTCTGAACCCGAACAAAAAGTACGGGTTTGCACGGGTAAAGTACGGGTTTGGCACGGGTTTGGCACGGGTTCAGCACGCGTTTCAAAACCATTGTGTTTTGGAAAAACACGATGTATTTATGCCAAAAGTTCGGGTTAGCACGGGTAAAGTACGGGTTTAGCACGGGTTCAGCACGGGTTCAAAATAAGCCCGAACTTTTCTCAGTAGGTTGTCTAAAAATTAAATCCAAGTCCCATACTAGCCCTTCGATGAGATCGATATTTTGGGGCGTACAACCATGACCGCGCTTCAAGCAGTTTTTCTCAAGACTTAGACACAAAAGAAACGCCAAACGATGATCATATCATGCGACTATGATATGACTATGACTATGATTGGTTGATTTGTGTACGTGGTCTGCTTAAGTGATGCCAAATCATGAAAACAATGTTTATTTAGCCATCCTGGGAAAACACGATGTTTTTTCTGGAAACACGATGTTTTCGCAGTGCACCCTGGAAAACACGAGGTTTACATTTTTATCCTGCAAAAAGTTAGGCTTTCGTTGTACTAGGTATATATATATATAAAGATGTGTATATATATATATAAAGATATGTATATAATTGTATATATATATTATGTGTATGTATGTATATATATATATAGAGCCAACCCCAAATAGATAGAAAACATTGGAAACCTGAGAATATGGAGGAAACGTCATCTATATACACCACCCTGGACCCTGGAAGCGCTTTTCTAACTTTTGTTGGGTTGCTACAGTATGATAAAGTAATATAGTACCATCATTTGCCATCTTGAAACTCGTCAAGCATCGTCAATTGCAGTAACACCTTGACCATATGGAACGACACGCTTGGAGGCAGGCTCAACGGACTGCGTGCGACTTTTACTGGATGCCCAGGCAGATGCGTTGCGAGCACCCAGAAACTGCATACCCTTCGATCATGGCAAGCTCAAAAATCCTAAGTGGGAACATCATTTGTAGATGGATGTAAATGGTCATCGCTATGAATACCAGATGGTACAAGTGCTAGGGTTAAGTCGTATCAGCTTCTAAAAGTCATATCGGGAGGCCGTGCGCCTGGAAAAAGTTCATGTTTGGCATCATCACAACTTTTAGTAATTGAACGATTTCATTGTTTTAGGGCCGTGCGCCATGGTGATTCTTCTTCCCTGATGTGACTTTCCACTACCTGATGTGACTTTCTGTATCGCCGCCGTGCCATGGGGATGATGGGACTTTTCCCGCATGATGTGACTTAAGCACGGCGCTCGTAAAACTGATATTTCAAGCTTTGGTGAATAGATCCTAGGAATCCTGGCCGAAGAATTTGTACTGCCAAAGAATACTAGCCCAGAATCAGCATTCCGATGTTAACGTAGAACCCTCCGGTAATCTTAAACGTTGGTCGGCAAATGGCCGACTTATAAATGCAGCTATCCCGGCACCATTTCTAGGAGATCTCTCCATTGAGGATAGAGTGACGCAGTCAACTAACGGGTTGTCGCTAATTTGGCGACGTTTAAAGGATAAAACTAGTACTGGTAATCTGGTAGTCCCATCCCCCTACTGTAGTAGATCCCACGTGTTTTTGGGGATGTTTAATATTAAGGGGGAAGAGATTAGAGTAGACGAGTTGGATTTCTTTTCCAAAAAGGACCAGGTTCAAAATTTGGGTCCCCAAAGAAAGGCTTGTTTTCGTCTCTGCAAACAAACCATCAAAATGGAAATTTGCTGGGGCCCCGAGCATTGCGTCACACCTGGTCCTGTGCCATTGCCTTCCGAGCTGTTTATTTCAGA